GGCCCCGCCCCCATCCTCCCTCCCCGGAGTCCCTCCCCCAGAAGGCGCCCAACCTGGTTCTGGTCCCTCCCCGGGGTCCCTCCCAGGGGGCGCCCTGCCCCGTCTCCTCATTCCTCCCTCTTCGGGGTCCCTTCCCCAGGGGACTCCCAGCCTGGTCCTGGTCCCGCCCCCCTGGAGTTTCTCCCCTCCCCCGTGGGTCCTCCCCCAGGGGTCCCTTTTCCTCTGGGTCCCTCTCCCCCCAGGTCCCTCTCCCAAGGGACGCCCTGCCCGGGTCCCATCGCTCCCTCCACGGGTTCGACCCCACAGGGCGTCTTTTTGTCTGTCCAGGATAGGCAAGGGCGATCCCAGACCCTGGGGCGGGCTGACCTGTTTCAGCTCTGTGGGTGGAGACATCCCCAGGAGGAGACTTGCGAAGCTTGACCGTGTGGATTACAAGAAAGTGGTCCTGTTAACATGGGCCAGGAGCCTATTGCCCCACAGGAGACCCAGGTTATGGGACTGTGGGCCCTGTCCGCCCTCTGCAGCAGACATTTGAACTTTTTATTTATTTATTTATTATTTATTTTCAGAAAATGAGTTGTAACTTGCTCCTATCTTGTTTGCCTGCGGGGGGGGGGGGGTCGCCTAGACTTTATACCGGGGTATACTTATTGCTAAAGAAATAGGGGGTACTCCAGTCTTCAATGCTGTTGTTGTTGTTGTTGTTTTGGATTGTTTGTTTTGTTTTGTTTTAGCTACAGTCAATCCCAGAGTGTCTTTTTAATTTGCTCTGATATTTTCTTAGCAAAAGTATTCATAGCAGTTCAAAACCCTCACATTTTCATACTATAAACATACAAGACAGTAAATCTCACACCATCTCACCCTATTTTCTCTTTAGAGGTAACTTTTTTATTAGCTGCTTGAATCAATTTGATGATTTTGCTAATTCCTGTTTTTCTAAGCACAGGTCCTTAAGCACTTGGTAGGGAATATAATATGTAGCGTTTTTTTGTTATTTTGTCTTTTATTTATTTATTTTTTTCAGAGCTGGCAACCGAACCGAGGGCCTTGTGCTTGCTAGGCAAGCACTCTACCACTGAGCTATATCCCCAACCCCCCGTAACGATTTTTTTAACACGGAATCATAGAACAAAATGGTAGAGTTTGGTCCTTTAAAAAATATACTCTATAGCTATAGCTCAGTGATGGTGCTTACCACAGTGCTAAATTTGAAATGCAGACATTCTTAATTATCAAAATATTTAAATGAGTACTTACTTGTTAGATAAATGAGGCAAATTAAGTATTGAATAAGTATTAATGTATTAAACATTTAGAGGATTACAATAGTTTCTGTATTGAAATAACTGCATGCATATAACTTTATGTATTAGATACATGCATCTTTTGTGTATCTTAAAGCACGTCCACAGCCTGTGACTTTCTCAGTCTTATAGTGGACAGTGCCTTTGAAAGATGAGAGAGTGAATTCAGATCCCATCTTAGCAGTACATGTTTAGTCCAGAGCTAGAGTTCAGATCTGATTTCTAGCCCAGCATCCCCTACATCATGAGATGAAATGACAAAGGATGAGCTATTAAGGCCTTAAGAGTCCCCAAATCTCCCCACATCCTGAGCTATAAATGTAGCATGCAGGTTGGTTAGACTTTACCCTTGAACTACAGACTGGGAGCTTGGGCATGTGACTTGAAGGGAAGCTAGCAGTCAGCACACTGGGGGAGCAGATAAGAGGTTACAATTTCAACACTGCTCAAAATTAAGCAGGAAGATTTTAGCAAAAGAGAATTTCAGAAGCCAAACTAATGAACAAACTTGGATAAAATGAAGGAGAAAAAATGTCACAATTCTGAATGTCTTATAAAAACTTGCAGAACAGATTTTTCTCATTCTTTCTCATTCTTTACTGTGCTTGAAAAATACCTAAATTATTTTCAATCCCACGAGAGTGTGGTGGTCTGTTGACGGTGAAAATGAGCTTAGTAAGGACACCTATGTTTCCCAAGAGTGCGTAGGAATTCTGCCTGCTTGGACCAAACACAAGCCTGTGTCCTTCCCGCCCTCTTAAACTCAGATGTGGTTATGCCAGACAGCTTCGACCCCACAGCTACACACTACTCTTAGAGGATGGGGAATCAACAAGAGGTAAGGAGAGTGGGTTACCTTGCAGCCTGGACTGCATTATTATCACAAGAAATAAAACATTACCTAGGTCGAGGCATATTTTAGAGTCCTTTGTAAAGGTCACCTAGCCTCACTGCACTGTAAAGATCACCTAGCCTTACTGCTCTGTGTCCTGTAACCCGAGTTGCCAGCTTTCCTTGTGCAGTTAGCAAAGTAAATCAGCATGACTTTTAGCAGATGTTCTATCTTAAAATTAAAAGCAGAAATGTATTAGGCTTCATTAAATAAAAAAGTAGCTATCTTGGAGAATCAGTTTCAAAACAAGTGCCCTCTGGAAGCTAATCCTGCCCTGTGTTCCAGACCCGAGTCACACGTTTCTTTCTAACTCATTCAGAATTTCTTCACTTTAATTATAGTTTGATTTACATATTAAGTCTTCCCTTCAGTATTTTTCATACCATTTCTCTTTATCTGGATATCCATGGCCTCTCTTTGTCTCACACTTTTTTTTTTTTTTTTAAGAGACAAATTTTTGGTAGTTTTTTTGGGGTTTTGTTTTTTTGCTATATAGTCTGGGATAGCCTTGAATGCTCTATATAGCCCAGGCTTGCCTCAGACTCACAGCATTCCTCCTGTCTAGCTTCTTGTGTGCTGGGATTACCACACACATTCTGTCTTAATTTTGCTTCATTATTAGGACATTTTTTACACTTTAAAATTCCATTTATTTGGAAGAAAACAGAACCAGGTTAGTACCAGCATGCTATCAGGAGGTTTCAACTACCCTGCCTGGCCCAGGATAACTTTATCTAATGAGGACATTTCTCATTATTCCATTTAGGCCTTGTCTTTGGCAACAATTCTTAGAGAATGTTTCTGAAGATATATCTGAGTTTCTCCATTGTCCCGGAGGTCAGTGGAATGATCTAACCAACACCCACATTCTCCATTGTACTGGACTTCTATGGGATGGTCTGGCCACACCCACATGCTTTCTGACAATTGCTTTTCCTCGGCTCACTGGTTATCAGAAGAATCCCCAATTTGCACAACATGACCCTACCCCACCCTCTCCTTCTGTGACTTGACCAGTGGATCACTAACAGAGATCACTAACAGAGACCTTCGTTTAAGAGAGGGTTACTAAGCCTTAGGGCCATCTTGGTTTCTTCTTATGTTTACATGCCAATTACCATTCTTTAAGTATCTTGTTGGGTTTTTGTCACTTGAAATTGAGTCTTAATGTACCTATAAAAATATTAATATATCTACCTTCCATTAGCCATCATAGAGAATGCCATGTACCCTCTGCTTTGTTATTTCTTTTTTCTTTTATGCTTTTGAGTGTATTACTTGAATGTGTGTAAGTGCACCTGTGTCATATGTCATGCAGTGCCCTCGGAGGTCAGAAGAGGGTGTTGGATCCCTTGGAAATGCAGTTATGGAATGGTTGTTAGCTGCTATATGGGTCCTGAGAATCGAACCCAAGTCCTCTGCAAAAGCAGTCAGTGTTCTTAATTGCTGAGCTATCTTTCCAGCTCCAGTTTCTTAAGGGACTTAAAGAATTTTAATTTACATATCTTGTTTTCCAGGCAGTATGCAAAATATATTTAACTAGAATTTAACAAAGATTTTACATAAGAAAAAGCACAGTAGAAAAATTGTGCAAGAAAGCTGGGCAAAGTGGCACACATCTTTAATCCTAGCACTCATGAGGCAGAGTTAGGCTAATTTCTGTGAGACTGAGGCCAGCCTGGTCTACACAGTGAATTCCAGACCAGCTAGGGCTACAGGGAGACTCTCTCTCAAAGAAAACATGGCGTGGGGGGAGCTGGGGAGATGATTTTGTGGTTGAGAACACTGTCTACTCTTGCAGAGGACTGTTTAAATCCCAGCACCCACATGAAGTTTGTAACTCCAGGTCCAGAGGATCCAAGGCCCTCTTCCAGCCTCTGCAGGCATTGCACACATATGCACACGGTGCACTTCCATACATGCAATCCAAATACTCATACACATAAAATAAAAATAAATATTAAAACTGAACAGAAATCAGACTCTGACAAATAAGTTTGTGTATTTGCTTCATTGTATGATCTTTGAAAAATTTCTTAAGTGTTGACCTCAGTTTCCTCTTCTGTAATATGAGGATAAAATAAGACTGAGAGAGAGAGACAAGGAGAGAGAGAGGGAGAGAGAGAGGAGAGAGAGAGAGAGAGAGAGAGAGAGGACACAAACATTTTTTTGCCTGCATGAATTTTTTATGTAAAATTCTCATCATAGTGCCTGGTGTCCAGCAGCATTCAGTCATTACTCTTTCTATTACAGCGCCATCATCACTGGGATTAGGAAGCACTGTGGGGCAGAACTAGCACACTATGATGTGAGCTGCCATGCAGGTGGGCAGGTTTGCAAATTATAGTTCTTAAAGATAGCTGAACACATGCAGAGA